TGTAATAAACACCTTGAGTTACTATCTAAGCGTTGAATGTCCCGATATTATTTCATTCACATGTCTCTACCCGGTTTCACTTATATTTTTATTCGGAAAATGTTTGGTGTACATGTACATTTAAATATTGCAGGATTTCAGGATTCATATATACACACTTTGTTGAGTATAATCATCTGCGCAACTGGTGCTATTTAAGCTTTTATGCCTAAAGCAACACACACTAACTTTTAATTTTAAGTGAATTACAAGTAAATTCATTATACATAATCTATTCGTGTCTATTGATATTCTTTGTTTAGGTGCTATTTGAATTCGTTAATAAAAAATCTATCGTCAACGCTGATATTTCTAGTAGTTACCTTAAGATCACCTTCACAGAAATCCCGGAGTCTGGAGATGTAACTGCTGCCAAGAATAGCAAACTTAGGCATAATGCTTGATCAAATGAGATGTACACGTGGTCGTAAAGGTAGAATTGATACTTCTCTACGATGAAACCTTCCTTATATAACATTCAGCATGTAATAGATTTAAAGTTCAGTCGTATTTGTATCTAAGCTATTTAATTACGTGAACACTGTTCAGACCAATATGTTTTCTTTTGTGTTTGTATTATTATAATAATAATAATTTGATAACTTCATTTCATTAAAATAGTTCACCGGTATGTACCTTGACAAATGACACATTGTGATATAGTCAGGTTAATTGCAGTGAAGCTATGTAAACCAAGTATTTCTATGTGTTATTTTATATCAAGTGTGTTGGATGCCGCTAATTAATAATGATACGACACGTGCCTGGCGCGTGTCGACTGACTGACTGAAGTTAAAGGTGTTGTGGTTACCATTATTTCATGCTTGTTTATTGCAAATGAAAGAAAATCTAAGTCATGTGTTTGTGTATCGTTTTCTGAAATAAAAGTACATTTGTTTTTATTGTTTTTTCTATCTGTATCATTACACTTCTCATAATAATTTATTACAGACGTTTTAATAAATTACACAACAGGCACAAACGGAAAAGAGTGTAAATAGAATGATATCTAATTTGAATAAATATTCAACTCTAAAAATCCAGATTCAGCAAGTTTAATTCAGGATGGCGCATTGCTAGTACTACATAAGTTATAGCGTCTTTGTTTTTGTTACATGCTCGGGCTTCATTATATCCCACGTTTACACAGCAGTCACGGATTTGTGTTGATAGTTCACCTGTAATTGTACCACGGGTGCCAATCAATTACCCAGTTCACACCTGTATACACGAATTTTAAACTTGTTTGGGTAATTCACTTTTGATGACCCGGAAAGTGGTTAATAGTGCACAACCCCTTCGTTGATAACATATATAGTCAAAATGCACATTTTTTGTCTCAGTTTCCGCGTGTCGGAGCCATACTTCATGGTTATCTAGACATGAAATTGCATTCATATTTCACGACTATCTATATTTTGTACTGATATTTTTCAACTTAAATGGTATGTTCTATGTAGTATTTATGTATATATTAGAATATTAATTAATTCATTTTGTACTGATCTTTTTATGTGTCCTCTAGATAGTATTCATAATTATTTATTTATTTTGTATTTAATATGAAGTAGACTTTTTTACCTCGCCTATTCGAAGAATAGGGGGGCTAATGTAGTCACCCCGGCGTCGGCGTCCCGCCTTCTGAGGTTAAAGTTTTGGTGCAAGTTTTTTCCAGACAGTGTTGGATCATCACACTCAATACACAGTTGTCTATTATGAGTTTAAGGCATTTATATCGAGTGTTAGCAATGTGCTGGACCATATTTTCATGTTTTATGGCCCAAAAACAGCTTAATTGGACTTAGTTTAATTCGAGGTTAAAGTTTTTGGGCAAGTTTTTTGGTGAAGTGTTGGACAACCACCATCAATATGCTGTTGTCTATTATAAGGTTGAAGTATTTATATTGAGTGTAAGTAATGTGTTGAACCATATTTTCATATTTTAGCGTCCAAATACAGCTTAATTGGACTTTGTGAATTTCTTAACAATCACTTCACATAGATGTTTCTACACATTTAACAGTCCTTGAAATATCATGGTGGTAGGTGAGGTGGCAAATAAAATGACAGGCACTATATCAACGTTTTACATGTGTTTCTATTGATAGTTGCAGTATTATAATAACATACATAGGCGAGCTATGCTGTTCTCCGACAGCTCTTGTTATCTTTTGTAACATTCTTAGACACTTTAATCTAATATCTTGCGTAACAAATGTTTTAGTTATAAGTATATTTTTAATTATGTATTCTTTTTATTTAGGTCAATCAGTAATTGTGAAATATGTTTATCTGTGAATTGTTTTTATTTATAAACTATACATATATACTATATCTTTTTAAAACGTACTGTGTTATATGATTTACCTTGTTTCTGAAATAAAATATGTACGTAAAAGCGTCTTTCGTTTATTATTGTATTATACATACAAATTACATTAGACAATTATTGAAGCCCTAAATCCCGAAACGAGTCAAGTGCATCTAGACATGCGTGCTCATAAATGCCAATCAGTGAAATACATTGCGTCGGGACAATTTCTTACGGTATTCTAATATATACGATTTACTTCCCCTTAACTGGTAGCATAACTCCGTTTTTTTTAAAGAAAAGACTCAATCACTCGTCTAAGGTTTTTATTTACAATAAAATAGAGTTGAAGGTGTTTTGGATAGTGTTGGTGTGTTTTGGGTGTGTTTTTGGGTGTTTTGGGGTAGTTTTGGGTGTTTTTGGGTAAATCGTCGTGCCCCGTTTGGAATGGTGCGCTAGCATTGTGTACGGAAATATAATTTCGTGTATAAAACCGGACCCGGAGGCGGTCCAAAGATATATGGATCCGGAATACGAATCGGATCTTCGAAATATTGATTTTTATTTAAGTTCCTAGCATTAATGCTATTTGATTTTTATGTATATCAAATATAAGTGTTGGGACACAATAAAGTATTATAGTTTTGACGGTATGGATAATAATATGACATAATTTTGCCCTTTACGCATTAAAATAGGAATAGGCAAAATGGGGTGGGGGAATGGCGTTCTAACTTCAAGTGAGCGAAATTGCAAAATTTTCACCGGGAACCCATATTTTTTTATGCTTACCGAAAATCATATATACTTGGCTGTCTTCTGTAAAAGTTTTATAAAATTGACATGGGTTTTGATCGCATTTTTGCTTGTTTTTAATGCATTCGTTTGATGTAAATTTGTTAAAATTACATTTTGAAGAGAATAGATGGCCATGAAAAATGCATAAATATACCAAATATAATCATTTTTGTTTTATTTCTGCTTTTGATAGTTCATATTTTGGGGGAAATTTGCAGAAAAGTAGCTACCTTACTGCTGATATATCTCAAAAAGTAAGTCGAGAACCCCCTTTTTTTCTTTTCATATATGGAATCTACGTAAAACATGCAAGAAAATAAGCCTAATTAGAAAAAAATAACATGGGTTTTTCCAAAAGGATGGACCCACCTTAAAGACAGTGGTAGGTTCTAAATTCTCTCTCTCTCTCTTTTTTTTTCTTTTTTTCATTTATGATTTGTAAAATTTATTGATGTTGCCATGTACATTGTGTAAAATAGTTCTTGGAGAAGGCTTCATAATTTGGAATAAATTGTGCCTAATCCCTTTGCAAATTTTGTAATAAAATATGTTTAAATAAAAATTACGGATATTTTGTAATGATCGGCACTGAAATTAGAGCATGCATTAAGCGTCGCACAGACTTTAAAGCGTTGAAGTGACCAATGATTATTCAACATGGCGTGTGTTGTGAATTCCGCACGCCGGTTGTGTCTAAATTCGTCTGCAATTCAAAAGTCAGCTATTTTCCCATCAACATTGTTCAAGAGACAGATTTCAACAACGTCTTGTTTAAACATAAGAGAAAGTAAGCTTGTATTCATAGTCGGAATTTTTGTCTTTATTGGAGAGTCTTGATGACCTCTACCTGTTTCATTACTCCCATAAAATGAGAGGCCGCTGATCGGCCTTTTCTCTATCGGATATGATTTTGCCGACTGCGACCTCTCATTTCCGAAGCACTTATTCTTTGATGCAGTTTCCGCCCGAAACCCGGGCGGAACAAAATCGGCTTGAAAAACTGACTTAAGTGGTTAACAGTTCATGACAACGATGACTACTCACGGTTTATATAATAAAGATATCATATGTATGTTACAGACACAAATATATAGTATATTACGGAATAGAACACTGAAAATACATGTCCATGTCGTTGTAGCACATCTCTGACCTACATTTAAAACATGTCTTCCTGGATTAATACAAAATAGCAGGGGTATTTTAAACGGAACGAAATGATACGGAGTTTGTTTGTATTCCGCTTGTGAAACTTTACATGTAATCCATTTTTGTATTAACCGGAAAAATCATGGCAAATGCTGTCTGCTTCGCTTCGAATGAGGAAAAACTCATTATTTATGTCTTTGACACGATTTTTTTTCAAATAATCATGGATTTATGGAAAGGAATATTTATTGGACCCTTTTGGCCATTTAAATGTATGTAAACACGATAAACTCTTTCTTAATCCGAACTTTGAAAATGTGATCGTCAGCATCGGGAAAATCAGCTATGGGCAGTTAGAGGTTACGCGGCGCCTGTCAAAAGTATTTCGCCGTGTAAAACCTCTTACATTGTTGGAGTACCTGTTTCATATGATCCTTATAATTATATTTTCTATGCCACCGCTAGGGACCTGGAAACTTGAACATACCGAATGAGCTAAAGAGAATTTCTCTATAACCGTGTCGGTAGGAAGAGGCCGGGTTTTATATAAGTACCATCAGGAGAGTAGCTCGAGTTGAGCTGAGGAGACTGGGTATTAATTAATATTAGTTCTACCACAGACTTTGATAGCACCCCTCCGTATTAAAGCCATTTTGGTCTCTGTGGAGTATAACATATAGAAAGAGCACCTCTGGCCTTGACACCAGACTTTTTGACAGATAGACACCACTGTGTCACCAAACATCCAGCTGTCAAAATGTCTGTCTGGTGTCGGGGGGGGGGGGGGGGATTTTGGGCTACCAGGAGGGTGGACCCACTGCTTCCACTGGTAAGATAGACATACAGATGGAGTTTAATCAAACAGTTTACTAACATTTCCAATGTCTGTACAAAGACTGCTTTGAATAGTTCCGAGTAGCCCGAGTTTCCTCTGGCCCTAAACACAAGACATAAGACATTTTGACAGATAGATGTCTGGTGTCAGGGCCAGAGGAAACTCAGACTAAATTCTAAGGTGTGGGTTATTAATTTCAGATCTAACTGCTGTTAAACTTTCAACAGGTTTAGGGTCTAGTCCGAAATAACTGACTCTCATTTTAAAAAACATGTATGTTCTGTTTTCTTCTATACCAGAGCTTGTCCACATACTTCCTATGCATGGATGGCATGTTCATGAGTCGCATGATAAACCAATATACTTATGAAAATAGTTGACAAAATCTACCCTGCCGTAAAAAACTCTTTCTTAAAGATATGAAATAGTTGTTTTCAGCATTTTGTTGGTGCAGTGGCAAAGATAAATAACCTTCCCGTTAGTTGAAGTTCTCACCCAAACCCGGTGTGCAAACTTGTCTTAGAGACTATGGAGGATGTTTTAACTGTCTCTGCCAAATAAAAAATAATAATAAACAGGTTGGGTACAATGCCGCATATGGGTAATGATCCTGCATTTGGGTCACTGTTACTCATTCGAGTTACAATTTTATTACTGAAATGGGGAAAAAAGTGAAATAAAAACACACAAAGTTCTTTTAAACACTTGGGAGTGGAAAAAAGGGCGTAATTCTTTCAACTTAATCCAATAAATAACAATGAAGTGCACAAAAATAAATCAATTCTGATGTCTAACCTTTTGTAAAAGACTCTTGGTAAAACTTGTGTCTCTATGCATTTTGAAAATTGACTAACTCAAGTTAGATAAACATGATAATAAACCATCACTCATTTGGGAACCTGTTTTAACCCTGTGTTGTACTGATTAACTGTTAAGCATTTATTCTTTTTCAGTCAAGGAGACAGAAGATGGTGACACACTAACAGTAAGTAATCAACAAGAATTTGTATACATTATACCAAAGTTCAGTTGGCTGTTGTTAAATATGTAAATAACACAACAAATAAACCTCTTCATTGTAATCTACCAAAGTTCAATTGAAGCCTTGTATTGTGAATTTTGAAAGACATCTTTGAACAAAGGTATTCTGTAGTAAACATGAGGCTTTTATTGAAGACCCGGAGAGACATTCTTAATTGTAACAACATGCATTGTATACTGCATAAAGTACTGTAAAGTGCTTTTATTTCTCAGAGTTTTATGTTTCTATATTTGAGATTTACTTTCAAAGCCCGAATTCCAAACTCCAGCGAAAATTTTGATTAGAGATCTGCCATTTGTTGCTATCAATATCCATCCTTGATATCCAGGGGTTACGAAAAAAATAAAAATGTGATGAAACGCGAATTTAAGACCCCGCAAATAAATTCCAGGTGTGAAAATGCACATTTGACACCGCCAAATTAAAGCACTTTAAAAAAAAACTGTGCCATTGTAATGTAATGTTTTGTGCTTAATGATTATGTTTTAGGTTGAAGCAAATCTGTTGGAATCGGAGAGAACTGGTAAATTAACCTGTATTGATAAACCAGATAAAGGCTGTACCCTGTGTGGATTTAATGTGAAGTACACGGTAGGTTTGTTTATATATATACTATCATCATGGTAATCTCTGTTGTTTTAGTTGCAAGAGAAATGAAAAAAAATTAAGATGATTATTAACCTATATATAAGGCAAAGAAAAAAGTATGTGTCTCAAGTTTTCATCATACCTATCAACCCTAGATGTTAATTCATACATGTAAAATATATGTCAACAAGGGGCAATGGGGCCTGCATTTGAGACACATTTTTTCTCTTAACCCATCCCCACCCAACCCCCCACCCCCCAACCCCCATTCCTTAGGAGCAAACCTAGTTAGTAGCAATAATCCCATTGCTGTCAGACGTAAAATCAGTCTATATTTGAAATTTGAATAATTTATAAAATATGTATATTCCAATATTCATTGCGTTTTCAAAGTGAGTGATCTCCCCTTGTAAACTTTTTTTAATACTAAAATAAATCTCACAGTACAAAACAGTTTGTGTCATGTCTTTGCAAAACTGTTCATTCAATGATAAGTGATCTCCCCTTCTGAAAACTACCTTTTGAATTATGAGTAATCTCCCCTTTCTCAGACGTTATGATGAGTGATCTCTTTATATATTTGTTATGTAATAATTTACCTCGCCAATGTAAAATTGTTTGTGGTAAGTTGTATTACTGTATTTGGTGGATGATAATGAACTCCCTTTACATAAATTGTATTCATCTATCCTTAACTAGTATTAATTGTCAAATTATCTCCCCTTGTAGGATGTGCTGATCATTAGCCAATTTGTTGACAAGAATGGTCAGATATTACCTCGCTGGGTGAGCGGCCTGTGTGGCTATCAACAGACCTTGATGAACCAAAATCTTCACAAGGCTCAGAGAGCAGGTCAGTTAATCAGTGTGAATTGCACACAGGCTATTGGGTCAGTTCTTATTTTCTCTGAGGAATTTAGCTTTATGAATTGTGTAATGATGTAAAAATTTAATATTTTACAATTGTTCTGAATTTTTGGAAAGAAATAGGTTTGAACTATTGATAATTTGTTTTATACTCCTGTCATTATTGATGGACATATTATGGTATATGGTATTTGTCTGTCCTCCACACTTTGGGTTCCACAGGATAACTGTCCTATGGTATTGATCAAAAATTACATTTTGATGAAAATTAGTATCAAGACTGAGGCTAAGTTCAAAGTTGAGCAAAATCTATGCATAATTGGTAGTTGATTAGTTACTGCACTTTGATTGCTCAGAACTTTGACAAATATGACTGGACTCTGATTCAATATTTATATTATTCCAAGACAAAGGCTGAGTTTACATGGGCAAAATATGTGCATAAGCTGGGCAGTACAAAGTACCAGGGTGACCTTATGTGGTTGTGGTCCATCAACTGTCTTCTTTTGTCTGTCCAGTTTTCCCAAAGTACGGAGCAGAATCATACCAAATATTGGTGTTTGTATACTTAGGCCATGGGATTAAAAGTCATGCAAATTTAGAGCCATACCTTCCTGATGGCTGAAGGGCTTGGTCAAAGGGGGTTAAATAGGCTGATGATCTATAAATCATTCACCCCTGAAGACACATTTGAACTCCCCCAATTCAAAGGTTGGAATAGTTCATTATGACATTTCAGGGGTGAATGAGTTAAATGACATCTCCTGCCAAAAGTACTGGACCGATTTCAAGTTGTAGAGGTGGCATGCTAATACAAAATTGGCCACTCCCCAGCACCCTGCACCTCTGTAGAATTTTATTTTTCTAATTCTTCATAACATTTTTTTTTCTTCTTATAGGTTTAATGCCCAATTTGAGGCCACCACGTAAGGACGGCAAGAAAAGGACGAGCAATATGTCAACTTATGCATGGAAAAAGTACAACGTTTACTATGAAGATTGGGACAAGATTCCAGTAGCGTGATTAATCTTACCAGGAAATGAAGCAGTCCAAATTGTGTAAACCTTCAAAATATTGATAAACTAATATTGACACAAACTCCCAAAATATTAAAATTATATTAGGTCATATTAGTCACTCAGGTGACTCATTCACCCCTGAAGGCACATTTGAACTCTTCCAATACAAATGTTGGAATAGTTCATTATAAAATTTCAGGGGTGAATGAGTTAATGCAATTACAAGTTCTAATTGACAATAAATACATCTTGAAATGCGTTGACTGAAAAACAGACATATTTTTCACCTGTCCCGAGATTATTTTCAGTGAAGTTCATCCTCGATATCAAGGGGTTACACTCACTTACACTCTCTTCATCCCTGGAATATGTCATAGCAAAACCAAAGGCTCAGTGGCACCGCCTTGTAGATGAGACAAGACTACTAGTTTGATCTTTTGCTGTACATCAAAAGAATATGTCAGTTGCATAATGGCGAATGTCTGGCTTTAAAATAGGGTGTTGGTCCTCTGTAATCTTCAAAGGACAGGTATCAGCCTAGCAGTAGGTACCAGGTAGTTATTTTTTTTTACCCAAGATCAATCAAATTGCTAGCCACGTGCATTTGCAACGATATATTCCAGATGCAGAGAACAAAAGTGAGCGTAACCTATTGAGTATCGAGAATGAATTAAATGTTGATGCATAGGACTGTAAAAGACAGCGACATTCTTACGACGTTTCTCTGAATTTGTTTACACTGGTATCAAAGTTTCATGTGAATTCAAATTTCAGTCTGATGGAAGTGTAAAATGGTGGTTGAGTGTTCACACGAGTAAGTCCTGGTTTAGATGACAGTTGATCAAATTTACGAGTCACTTTAGGAAACATCATGCCTGTTTTTAAGAAAATAATTAGATATCTATAAATACAGGTTGCTGTAATACTCGGTGTGAGGGTTATGCTACGGTTGGTACTTGTACATCAAGATAGCTCATCCAGGGGTGTAGTTTCCTATTAAGTGTTCAAGCCAGCAGGCAGATTTTAAAAAGTCAACTAGCGTACCTATATTTTCATAGTACATTTTGAAAATATCTTCACTAGTCCTTTCATGAAAGCGTATAATAGCTTCATGTGTCTAGCTTGTGGGGTTGTACACCCATGTTCATCAAATTTAAATCGCTAGATTATTAGACTGCAGATCAGCCAAGAGAAAATATAAAGATTTGTGTGTAAAGCCAAGAAAAATCTTACTTGGAATAACTATGTAAATTTGTGTGAATTTGTGTATGGATGTATATTTGTTGTGAATGGAAGAATTTGGATAATAAAGTATTATCATTTCATTCATGCATTACTTATTATTAAGTATCATTAAGTATTCAATTGCAGTCCAATAGATGATATCGTGACCAGTGGAACTCTTCAAATAGGAGGGGATTAAACTGTACTCGCTGGGGCAACGGACAACATGGCAGCGCCAAAACATTCAGATACGAATTTCCACGAACTTCCATGTAATGAATTGGGTAATATTTTAAAGTCAAAAGGTATCACCTACTCCAAATAAGAACAAGAGGCCCAGAGGGCCTGTATCGCTCACCTGAATATGTTTAAAATAATTGGTATGAAGTAAAGATATAGCACTCCATGGTAGGTGCTGTAAGTACATATAGAATTCCAGAAAGATCCATCCAGTACTTGAGATATAACAAATTACAAACAGAGCCCCACCCCTAGGGGGGTCATACTCACCGTTTAAACAAAATTGAGTCCCATTGGCCAAAGGATTCTCCAGACTAAATAAGGATAAAATCCCTTAATCACAATGGTCGAAGAAGGATTTTAAAGGTTTTTCCTCTCTTTCTCCTATTGGACCCCGCCCTTCTGCCCCCTGGGAGACCACACCCACTGCTTATACAAAATTGAGTCCCCTTGGCCCAAGGATGCTCCAGACTAAATTAGGATAAAATCCCTTAATCCCTATGGTAGAAGAAGGATTGTAAAGGTTTTACTTCTATTTCCCCTATTGGGCCCCGCCCCTCTGCCCCCAGGGGGGGCCACACCCACCATTTATACAAAATTTAGTCCCCTTGGCCTAAGGATGCTCCAGACCAAGGGGAGTAACTCGTGGATGGTCGTGATAACACCTATTGAAAATTTGTGTTGGCATGTTATGATTGCTATAGCCTCGCCTTGTCTGTAGTCTGGTGTCGCTTCTTTCATGCTCGTGACCATTTGTCTGTGGTTTCTATATAGTTACATCATGAGAAGGCTTTATGTTGCATCCTTAAACTATCTTGGCTTCAGTTGTTAAGATCTACGTTCAGCTTATATTTGATGAAATAAATTTATGTTTTGCCAGATTTTTGATTCCTTGAAAATCTTTCCTAGTGGCTAAAATAGTTAGCTTTGACCCCTGATGACCCCTGATGACCCCTGATGATATTGAAAGTTTGTTTGTATTTGTATTTAAAATTTGAAGTAGATTTTCTTGAAAATGAACAGCCAACAAATCTGTCAAATCAATGAAATTTAATATAAATTTCTGAACAGTTTTTTCAACACTTTCACACACATTTATTCGGGACATGTATTTCATTTGGTTCTTGCCATTGATGCTAGTACATGTACATTTCAACGAACTATGTCCTTTGTTGTTAATGATTCCTGTCTATGTCCTTTGTTGTTAATGATTCCTGTTTATGTCCTTCGAAATGTACTTTATTCCAGCAACCTTTGTTCGGTCAAACTTTCCGCCATTCACCAGTAAATCCAAATTTGCCTAGTGTTAACTTCACCAGTCACATGCCTAGTGTTAACTTCACCTGTCACATGCCTAGTGTTAACTTCACCCGTCACATGCCTAGTGTTAACTTCACCCGTCACATGGAATAACTACGTAAAGTATGTTATGTACTTAAATATTCATTGTATTAATAAACCTGTCTTCTTTACGTTTTCTTGAATTATTTCAAGTATTTCCTTCAATTTATTTTGCCAAACACCTTTATAATGACATTTTTTCTGGACAAATAATGGAAGTATAACCAGGTTTTACTGCAAAGACATGTGACGGAGCTATATAATCTGAAGAATCTGTTGGACATGAGTTAAAAGAGACTGGGGCTGCCCCCCAATAGCTGAACTTAAGACATCACAAATGTTCCGTCGTGTAGTAGCCAACCTGTCGGTCAGTCTTAACTGGACATTAGTTGTTAAAAATGTTTCTTTATATGGCAGCAAAACCATCGGTCAGTCTCAAATAAAAAAAAAAAATATATGGCAGCCAAGCCAGTGGTCAGTCTCAACAAGATATTAGTTGTTATAAAAGTTTCTTTATAATATCAGCAAAACCATCAGTCGGTCTCAACTGGACATAAGTTGTTATAAATGTTTCTTGATCATCAGCCAAGCCATCGGTCAGTCATATTTAATGGTAACATCAGTGTACTCTCCATCAATAGGTTGGAACCCTGGGATGGCTGGTGTATCCGTAAGTCTCTTCACCGAAAAATTGTACAAATCTTCATCAATCTGTAAAAAATGAAGCAATAATAATAATAAATAATAATCAGCGGTTCTCATATACTGCTTTATCATAACCTAGATAGTCTCAAAGAATCCGTGGTTATAGGGCCTTTGCAACCAGCCAATATCTTTCTCAACTACCTGGGGAGCATACAGCCGGTGCTGCTATTTCAGTACTCATTTACAGCTGAGTAGACTGGAACAAGCGGAGTTAAGGATCTTGTTCACAGATACAACACAGTGCCGTGACGTGATGTGACTCGAGCCTGCAACCCTTCGGTGACGAGTCCGGCGTCCTACCACTAGTCTACCGTCCCTCCAGCACAAATTTAGCGAAATATTTTACCATGCATTCCTATCAAACTATTTGACTTTGTTGTGACACACAATATGTTTTGGTTTGTTTAATAATCTTAACAAACCTATCTGACGAAAATTAACCCACTCACTTTCCACAGCATTTAAACCTTTCACCCCTAGGTAACTTTAGTAGACTCTACCATACATTGATACGGATTAGTCTATTATGGTCTACAGTGGTGAAAGGGTTAGGTAAGTGAACTAAGACCAGTGAACTCCAGACAAAAATAAATTACGCCACAGTCACTGAACCTCAAAGTACAAAATAGGTTTGATAAATGAAAATGATCATTATATATAATATAATTTCAGTGGAAGATCCAAGGTGTTGAATTGGTATGTGGTCTTCAACTTCTGTGAGAGATATGAAAATATACCAGGTTGAGTATGACTTTTCTACAGTAGTTATAGAGCTAGTTAGATAGTTGATTGCTTAACGGCCCAGCAATGGTGAAGCAATTTCGGGCCTGACAACAACAATAAAGGACAATTACAAAAAAACGTAATACACCAAAAATAAACTGAATTGTAAAAGGTTAAAAATTGTACACATAAGTACACAGTGAAAAATGGTCTAAAAGTTAAAGATCCCTGTCCCACTGCACTGTAGTTTTTTGTTTACACAGTAACCTCCCCTTTACTTCCGTTTGGACGTAACTGTAGCACAGTTGGGTCAACCCACTCTGTTTACTAGGTAGCTCAGTCTGTTGTAGAGTAATAGTATAGCAGTCTGAAGTCCTGGGTTCAAATCCCGGTCTAGCCCAGCTAAATTTCTACATTTAGTACATAATTGTTTACCTATACATGTTATGTTTTGTTTATTTCATCTTTTTTTTCATAAAAAAATCTTGCAAGGTATGGTTTTCTTTCAAGAAATGATTTATCGAAGCTATATTCATGCCGGGAAAAACAACTTTCAATATTTCGTTACAGTTTTTGGCAGTGGTACAGGGATCCTTAAACAAAGCATCTGAAAACACAACCCCGAAAATAATAATTCACAAAGGCAATACCTCCGAGAGCTCAATATTTTACTGAAATGTAATTTACAACTTACAGCATTTGTCTGATGAAGGTGACAGTGTACATATCATACTTATCATCGAAACGTCACATAGAAAATGTTATTGGTTGTGTAAAAAGAACTTCTCATAATCCATACTTTCCAACCTGAAGAAAATGTTTAGAAATATAACTCACAGCAATGGCCTTCTGATAAAGTTCCTCCGACTCCTTCCGTAATTCCCCCAGAGCCTTTTGTTGTGATAATAACCGCTTTTGTACCGTATGTATTTCTTGTGTTATAAAATCTCTGCAGTACACTTTCCATTCGTGCGAGAATTTTTTCATTTCCTTCTCCCTTTCTTCAGGTGGGACTGACAGTTCTCGTTTTCTAATTCTGTTGGACAGAAAGAAATGCATTCAGATGAGAATTTTTCATTATGCAAGAAGTTTTTAGTTGATAATGGTTTTCAAATGTTAAAAGTATTTATAAAATTACAGTAAATACAATTCTCTTATTTCATTTGCATAATGCCAAAAATATTTTAATTTCAATTTATTTTTTTTAATAATTCCTTTTGATATATTGCCAAACCCTTTCATAATGTCAAAATCTTGCTGGAAAAATTAGTGTCAGTAGAAGAAAATTTTACATTAAATTTCTGATTGATGCTGCCGTAATCCACAATATTAGCCAAAATACCGAAGTGTCCCTTAAGCTTTCAGTGTACAGTTACGCAGGGCCTACGGAACCCCAATGGTATTTCCTGTTTTATTTATTGAACCACCTGCCCGAAATATCACCTAGTAATAGAAATGAAAAGTGGATAGTATCTATCTATGAAAAATGCACCAACATTTTTGGAACGGATAGTATGGTATAAAGATTCATCTAAAAAGTGTCCCGATTTGGATACAGTGACGTTACCTCATCATGAGCCTCGTCATGGACACGCATACCAATGTGAGGCTCTATCTTGGTGTTAGAGTTTCATTAGCATGTGTGAGGTTAAATATAACCAGATATATGGATTTTATTTTATATTTACTATTTGTCAGCCTCAGTACAGAAGAAGATGTTAAATTGTTCATTTTGTTGGGGGGGGGGGGGGGGGGGGGGGGGATGATGACGACGACGACAGACTCCAGGATGAAATTGGGAAAAAAATCATTGATCATTAGAATAATTCTGGGTGGTCGGGTGGTGCATGGATAATGCACTTTAAACAATGCGGTTTGATTCCCCGATCGGACATGAAAAGGTATGGGACCACGTGGGTTTTCTCCGGGTACTCCGGTTTGCCCCCACATTAAGACCCTCCGCGCGCTAACATCCGGAACAACAAGAGTGATTAATATAAGTTGAAATAACTTGTTTCATCATTGTTGTAAAATAAATAAATTTTGTATTATTTTTTTCCCCGAACAACTCTAAATAAATGAAATTAGACGGGTTTAACTATAATTAAGCCAGGGTTCACAACTAACATTAGTCGATAAGCCTTAGACTAGTAAAAAACGGAAGGAATCGTATATGTTCCATACCTGTTAGTTCTAAGGACTAGATATTTTTTACACCCTCTCCCTGTCTGATACTGATCTGTTACCGTAATGTACTGAGGCAAGGCAAGTAAAACCAACCAAGGACTATTGATTGATATCTTAACTAGTCCTAAAGACTAGGTAAGGAAAATAGTCAGTGCCTAACTCTGTAAGCCTATTTATGGAAACATGTGTTTTGAGAACTCAGGTCAAACATAAGGAATTTATTAATCAAACAAGACATCACAAGTGATACAATTTCCCACGCATTCACACATTGTGACATATATATAAAGAGACCAAATGAAGTCGCTAGAGCGATGACAAAGTTTTTTCTAGTGACCTTGACCTTCATCATAGAGAAGTTGTTCAAGGCATTGCCATACCGAACACTTGTATAAGTTTCATGAAATTCCATTGCGGAACGAAGTTAATAGAGCAGCTGCCAGCTTCCACATCTAGGCACACGCCCCAATACTCCGGTGAAGTTTCATTGGAATCCAATGAAAAGTTTATGAGAAAATGCGCTGACACTTTTAAGGCGGAAAGACGAGGAGGAGGAGAAGAAGAAGAAACAGAGAGTAAAACCATTAAGTCCCCCACTTTGATTAAATTATCAAATGTTTCCTAAAACTTAATTACTTGTATATCTTTATTGCAGTAATTTAACCCTTTCACCACTGTGGACCATAATAGACTCAACCAGATCAATGCATGGCAGAGTTTACTAAAGTTACCGAGGGGTGAAAGGGTTAACTGACCTATTTCCCCACAAAATCAACTTTGAGACGACGGCTTCCCTGACAGACTTGTCTTGTAATCATTCACCCCTGAAGACACATTTGAACTCTTCCAATTCAATGGTTGGAATAATTCATTATGAAAGTTCAGGGGTGATTGAGTTAACTAATCATATTTTAATAGTTTATGAAGAACATCTGTTATGCAAACTTTTATCAGTGTATTGTGAAGACAAAAATTGTATGTAACTGGGGTTTATATATAATTGGAATTCAAACCCTGTAATCCCTGTATAATGGAAATGGTCGTCAGGAAGAAGCCTTTTGAACCATATGTGAAAAGGTTAAGTAAATCTTGGACTAGTTACACTGACACATGATAGCAGATAGTCTACTGTAAAAGCATACATTTTTGTTGAGGTTAAATTTCGTGGAATCAATATTTTAAAACCCTGATTTTTTTTCTTCTGGTAAGTAAGAAGTTTAAATTGAAAAGCGTAATGACAAAATGCAGGTAAATATAGTACAGGTACGTTAGTGTATTGGTCAAATCTGTCACCACTGAGGAGTTATAGCCGTGTGATCGTACAGTTAACGGTAAACTCAAATCACTGACCAAACAAAAACTTGTATGCGGCAAAGGTGTCTTCGCAGATACAAGATGGAGTGGAGATTGAGAAAGTGTCGGTTGATTTCAAAATCAGTGTTGTCAAACAAGTCCACGCTAAATGACTTCTATATGCAACGGATGAACTGGTGCGTGACAAACCGGGCATTGTAAATACATCATGGAGTTGTTATAAAATTAAATGTATATATTTATTACTTTCGTTTAGTTTATATTTCATGTGTATAAAATTTCGTTTGGGATTATATTTTTTTTTTTTTTAAACCCACAAAATAAACGAAATAAAAATCCCCAAAGAAATATTACGCTTTTACAGTATTAAGGTAATAGGATTGTGTCACCATTTCTCAGTAGAATTTCTTCAAATTTTGCTGTTATATTGCTTTGAAGTAAAAATAATTTTCTGCCACAAAAAAAGTATAAGTTGTCAGAATTTTAAGGATTTTAAATGGAAATTTATGTAACAAGGAGTGAATTTTGAAGAAAAAAATCAAACACACTATTTTTTGCAAAATAATTTCAATATAAATGATACTGACATAGATTAGTATAACATTAATGTATATCAATTTGATAAATGCTTAAATTGTGTAAAATTAATTATCTATAAACGATTAAAAATGGACATTATATAATAAAACCATATACACATAGTAATTACATGTAAGAGTTATCTTTCATGAAAAACTTCACAGTAGTGAAATAGGTAGCCGGTTTCCTGAAGTACAGAAAAATGGACACATGTGACTCATCGATAAAAAACAACTGAATTAATGCCTGGATTGCTTTGGAGTTTCTGTTCTGTCAATAATAAACATACAATGTTCATCATTTTAATATTAAACTTTAGAATATGCGGAAATTGTGATACTGTCTCCCTACATTGGATTTTCAACTAGGGATGTACTTCCTATTTCCGTTTATCAATACACTCCTATGACCTTAAGCTAGTACTAAGGACTACCAAGCAAAAATAGTTAGCTCATTCACCCCTGAGATTTCATAATGAACTATACCAACCTTTGGATTGGAAGAGCTCAAATGTGTCTTCAGGGGTGAATGAGTTAATATCTCATCCTGATATGAGACAGTCTCTTTTTGGATGTATATTACAAAGCTTTGTTGTGACACTTACTTGACTGCCTCTTTTTCAAGTTTCATGTCAATAATGCGTTCTTTGATGGGAGCTTTGATTAGTTGGGCTCTTTTGTCCATCTTGGCTAGCAATTTTTCAAGCTGTTTTTTCTTTTTGCCCAATCTCTTATTCATATGCGGGTGTTGTCCTTTCTTCCTGTGAACAAAAATTTTCACATTTTATAATTAATTCAGACAAAAAAAAGAAAATAATGCACAGAATGATTTGATGTGATGTCATTGAAACTTATTGCAATTTAATCATTGTTTGCTATAATATCCAGGCTGTAAAGAACTACTTTCTCACAATATATTTGATTTGATCAATTTACATACTGGACAAAAATACCCAGTGGCCAGTCAAAATGTAAACTATAAAAAAATGTCATTTGAAAAGAAATAAAGTTGTGAGTATTCTCCCTTCCCAGTCATTGATTTTTCTATTAAAATGAGCAAGTCCCTGTCTTACTGGAGATGGTCAGTTGTCAGGAAGAGTAGAGGGTGGGCCTGGGTCCTCAGACATCGGTTTAGCTGTAGTGAGCTGGAGGCTGTCCTAGCTGCTACTCCAAGCCTATAAAGAGATACATTTCTGTTTTATGTCATGTTATGTATATATTGTAACTGTATTGTATACTTATGTAAAAATTTGAAAAATTTAAAATTTAAAAAAAAAAAAAAAAAAAAAAGTGATATATTTCTTATATATATATATATGGGGCAAAGAAGTAATTCCAACAGTGTGGACAAGTTTAGATTGTATATAAAGAAGGTGTGTTATATAGCTATATAACACACTTTCTATATAACTATATAACACCTTCTATATAGCTATATAACACACCTTCTAAAAGTGTGTTGTATAGCTATATAACACACCTTCTTTCCGCATAGCGATGGGTTGCTATTAGAAAGAAAAAAATCTGAAAAAAAAGGTCAATAACTTCGAGATTTATAACACCAATGTAGTAGTATATACATCTCTGGTTAACTCATTCACCCCTGAAATTTCATAATCAACTATTCCAACCATTAAATTGGAAGAGTTCAATGTCTTCAGGGGTGAATGAGTTAACTAATGTCAAATTGAAAAGCCATAAAGTTTGCCAACATTTGAAAGCTTTTAGAATGAAGCATTATGTGATTTTTTCATATCCTGATAATGCTTTGAGCTAGAATTAATCCTTATTTAAAATATAGACTAGAACATTTCTTTGGTCATATAGATTTATATGCATCAGCGATTGTTTTCCATAGATCCAATGTCAGTATACAATTGTTTCATGGCTATTTGGGGAACAGTCAAAACTATCACCCCGAGGTAGGGGGAAGCCCTGGGGAACTGTTTGCCCAGGGCTTCCCCCTACCTCGGGATGATAGTTTTGACTGTTCCCAAAAAAACCATGAAACAATTGTTTTATTACCAAATGGCCGTGGTTCGATTCCCCGATCGGACATGAAAATGTTGGGGTCACCTGCCCGACCACGTGGGTTTCTCCGGGTACTTCGGTTTCCTCCCACAATAAGACCCCCACGCGCTAACAACCGGGCCAACAAGAGTGATTAATATAAGTTGAAATAACTTGTGTCATAATTGTTGTAAAATAAATAAAGATTATATTTATATATATAAAAAAAAATAATGAAAAGAAATTTTAAGTTTTGCAGTTGAGTTTCTGATTAATTTAGAGTTTAGACCCCTGCCATGTTACGCTAACGTTAGTTGTGCGTCACCAAGGAAATCAAAATAGGTAAAGAAGGCAGCAGGGTGAAAAAATCATCCTCGATTCTCCACAGGCTGTGCTCGCTTTCGCTCTAGATCTCTGCACCCCTGGAATATGTCATAGCGAAATCAAAGGCTAAGTCAGAGTGCACAACCTTGTGGCTGAGACGAGAAGACTGGTTTATTGGGTGGTCGGGTCGGGTGGTGCAGGGGTTAAAATTCATAACGTCAAAAAACGCCTCTGCCACAGTGCAATCGCCTTTCGCCAAGGCGGTCACTTGCCCGACCACGTGGGTTTCTCCAGTTTCCTTCCACATTTAGACCCTCTGTGCACAAACATCCAGGCCAACAAGAAAGGGATTAAATCCCCCTTATGTAACTTTAGTAAACTCTATCATGCATTAATCTGGACGAGTCCATTATGGTCTACATTGGTGAAAGGGTTAATTCAATTCAGTGATATCACTTATTAGTTGAAATAACTAGTTTCATGATTGTTATCAAATAAATTAAGTTTGTATATTATATACTAGTTTGTCCCTCTGTAATTTTCGAAGGACGTGTATGAGCCTCAACGATTAATCAGGTATTTTTACCTCAGACCATTCAAATAGCTAGTTGCATGCCTTCAGTTTTGCTATGACATATTCCAGGGGTGCACAGGGTGAAAGTGAGCGTTACTAACCCCTCGAGTATCGAGGATGGATAAGACTGAAAATATGTAGGTCATTCTAACAGATTGGGCACACCGGCTGATATGGGTAATAATCTTGCATTTGGGTAACAGTTTTATTACTGAAATGGGGAATACAGCGAAATAAAAACACAGAGTACTTTTAAAAACTTGGAGCAAAAATTGGCATTATTCTTTCAAATAAATCCAATAAATAACACAACGAAGTCCTTTTGTACACAAAAAGTTATCAATTCTGATGTCTAACTTTTTAACATAAGCCACTCTAAAGTGCCTTACTGTACTGTACATAGATATACAATTAATACAATTAGCTTATACATTAATTCAATATATTTTTTTTTATAAGGAATCCGCAGGAGCTGCCTTATCAGGCACTAACTACTAGCCCTATGCCACCTGGCTAATATCTCCCCATGTGTGTATGTCTGGGTGTGTGCTGGAAATGCAATGTGGTCTGTTTTTAGTGGGACCGTGCTTCCAACGGTATCATTTATAGTGCCACATCGCTTGAATGTTACAGCACAGATACCGCAACATCCACCCCAGACCAATTTATACTCCACCTGGGTTGTTGGAGTTGTATGGGCAGGAGAAAAACCCTTTCTCTAACTATCCATGCGTACAACGACTTCGGGGATCAAACCCCGGCAGCATAGAAGGCTGGAGTGTTAATCACTCGACCAGTCAGCCTATATTATAACTCTTTCAAATCCAAGGTAATTTAACATATGACATATTGTTATGTGGTTTAAGGTGGGTCCATCCTTTTGGAAAAAACCCATGTCATTTTTTTCTAATTAGGCTTATTTTCTTGCATGTTTTACGTAGATTCCATATATGAAAAGAAAAAAGGGGGTTCTCGACTTACTTTTTCAGATATATCAGCAGTAAGGTAGCTACTTTTCTGCAAATTTCCCCCAAAATATGAAAATTAAGTAAAAATTTGTTTTCTATAATATTTGCAAAATTTGAGTTACCACAAAGTTGAATATTTTTTACACATCTCGTGATGTACTATCAAAAGCAGAAATAAAACAAAAATGATTATATTTGGTATATTTATGCATTTTTCATGGCCATCTATTCTCTTCAAAATGTAATTTTAACAAAATTACATCAAACGAATGCATTAAAAACAAGCAAAAATGCGAGCAAAACCCATGTCAATTTTATAAAACTTTTACAGAAGACAGCCAAGTATATATAATTTTCGGTAAGCATAAAAAAATGTGGGGTTCTCGGTGAAAATTCTGCAATTTCGCTCACTTGAAGTTAGAACGCCATTCCCCCACCCCATTTTGCCTATTCCTATTTTAATGCGTAAAGGGCAAAATTATGTTATATTATTATCCATACCGTCAAAAAAATAATACTTTATCGTGTCCCAGCACTTATATTTGATATACATAAAAATCAAATAGCATTAATGCTCGGAACTTAAATAAAAATCAATATTTCGAAGTTCCGATTCGTATTCCGGATCCATATATCTTTGGACCGCCTCCGGGTCCGGTTTTATACACGAAATTATATTTCCGTACACAATGCTAGCGCACCATTCCAAACGTGTTGTGCTTGATTTCACTGTTTGTTGTGTAGTTCCTGTATATGCGGTCGGTATATAGAATTAAAATTGAACAAATATTTGCTACCATTACCTTGTCTACATCTAATTATTGCTGTATATTTATCGTAAAATAGACAATAGTACGAGCGGAATATGTCGTTTCCGCGATACAGGTTTCCGGAACTAAAAATAAGCTTCGCAAATTATTTTGGTCATATGTCTTACACTTTTTGTATACACTGAGCATTAAATACTTCTGACATTCAAAATGTTTTAAAAGCTGATTTTAATATATGACAATTCAATGTATAGATGTAAACAATTACATATGTTAGACATATTACTGTTACACTGTGTTTTCATACATTCGAGCACTCGTCTACCTTGGTGACACAGAGCATATCTACAGGCTGTTAAGCAGTTCCAGTAGTATAGTTCACAGCAAGTGATTGCAGAACTTGAGGACATCACATGCCATGCTAAGATCTAGACAGGACAGAGTAACAAACTAAATTAATATCTTGACCCGGAATCAGTAGTGGAGGCATCATTGGAAGGCTTAAAGGCCAGGTTGAATACCATCCCCAGTTACACATCTCTAAGACAGCTCCCCAAGTATAATATACATTAATGTACAAAGTTTTTACTTTATAGATTTT